AATTCTTTCTATTATATTAATTGATTGTTATCATTTGAGCCATTCCTTTATATGTGTTAAATTGTTTTAAATCACGCGGGCATTATGACGCGTTTATGTCCTACAGATTTGTTGATTTCCTAAACTAAGAGAAATAAATGTTAGAAGCGTGGGGTCTGAGTAGTTTAGTGGTAGAACATTCGCCCGGCAAGCGGAAGACCCGGGTTCAATTCCCGGCTTAGCCACTCGCGCCCTGATATTTTTTCTCTATTCCCTTCTTTCTAATAATTCCTATCAGTACATACTGATTCTCCATATGTGAGAACAATGTACTAAAAATTTTCGTACACTTTAAGTATCTCGAACCAGAGATCGGTGTACAAATTTAACTGTCTCACGTAGACTAACAAATTAATTTCTTTAAGAAAAATTATAATTTCGCACTAACATCCCGCGACGGCTCTCTATGCCTTTCTATTATATTTAGGAGAAGAGTTTATTTCTTTCACTAAAAGACCTTTTATGCTACCTGAAATTTGAGGGATTATATTATCTGTTTCCCACAATGAATCATTTAGTGCGTGTTGTCAAAATAAGCTATAGCTCAAATTCGCGTTGCTACTACCTGAAGCTTGTATCTGAAAGGCCATTATTTGCGGATTTCTAGAGAGTGCATCTGCATTTGTATTTAGTTTTCCTTCTTTGTATACGACTTTATAATTATATTCTTCTAATTTTAATCGCCAGCGCATTAGTCGGGATGATGGATCTTTAACATTAAAGAGCCAAGTTAACGGCTTGTGATCCGTGATAATTTTGAATGGTTTACCGTACAAGTAAGGTCGAAAATGTTTCACTGCCCAGACAATAGCTAAAAGTTCTTTTTCCGTTGTGTCGTAATTTCTTTCTGCTTTATTTAATGTTCGTGAAGCGTAACCAATGGGAAGATCGCTGCCTATTTCACCTTGTGATAAGATTGCACCGATTCCTTCATCGCTTGCATCAGTAGTTAATAAAAATTCTTTATCAAAATCTGGATATTGTAAAATAGGTTCTCTCGATAGTAACTGTTTTAGTTTTTCATAATTAATTTGTTGCCTCATTTCCCATTTAAATGGTACATTTTTTCTGAGGAGCGAGGTAAATGGTTCTGTAATTTTGCTGAAATTTTTAATAAACCTACGATAGTACCCTACAAGTCCTAAAAATTGTTTTACTTGTTTATGATTTTTAGGAACTGGATATTGCTCGATTGCTTTTATTTTTTCTGGTTAGGTTTAACTCCCTTATCTGATATTATATGGCCTAAATATGTTAATTCGCGCTTGAAAAATTCACACTTGTCTGGCTGTAAGCTAAGACCAGCTTCTTTGATTCGTTCGAAAATTTGGTGTAATTTTTGTTTATGTTCTTCTAAAGTTTGTGCGTATATAACGATATCGTCTAAATAAACAAAGCAAACATTTCCTTGTAGTCCGGTTAAAACGTTATCCATCAGGCGTTGAAACGTCGCGGGGGCGTTCTTTAAACCGAATGGCATTTTTTTATACTCGAAATGACCGTTAGGCGTGTTAAAGGCTGTTTTTACGGTGTCTTGCGGATCCATGGGAATTTGATGAAAGCCTGAGGCTAAATCGAAACACGAAAAATACCTGGCTTTGCCTAATTGATCTAAGATATCTGATATGTTAGGTAAAGAGTATGCATCTCCGACTGTTTTTTCATTTAGTTTACGGAAATCTATTACTAACCGCCATCGTTTGTTGCCATCAGCGTCGGGTTTTTTCGGCACTACCCATAACGGTGAGTTATACGGTGAAACAGACGGTTGAATAATATCCTGATCTAATAATTTATTTACCTGATTTTTAATTTTGTTTTTATGGATCGGTGGATATCTATATTGTTTTATGTTTATAGGGATGTTATCTGTCGTATTTATAGAGTGTGTGATTCTATTAGTACCTTTTAATTGATCTCCCGGTAAATAGAATATATCATTAAAATTTTTGATTATAGGTTGTATTGACTGTTTTTCTTCTTCATTTAGATGATCTAATCTTAAATTCTGTTTTAATAATTTTAATCTTTTTGTTACATTATTTGAAATTACCGAGTCTATCTTATATGTAGGGCTGTCCCTCGGGCTCGTGGTAATATCCACTAGCTCTACATCGATCTCAGGTAACTCTAGTTCTATTTCTTTTTCAGTCGTGTTTGTCACGTATGTATACGTTTCTCCCGCGTGATTCACTTTTACTATGCTATTCATTAGAAAAACACCACGTTCTAACTCTTTGTGATCTATGAATGCATTATCAATGTTATAATGTTTTGTTTGTAACATCACAGGGCAAATACTTCTACTCGGCAACGTTATTCGATTACTAAATTCTAATGGGTATCTTTGATTATTGCTAATTGTTACCGTTCGCGTTTTCTTGACGCAGATATGTAGAACCTATAATTCCTTGTTCCTTCAAAGGGAATTTACTGGGCACTACATGAAATTCGTGAACTCCCGTATTTGAATGTAAGTATGCAGTTCCGAGAGTTTGTTGCTTTTCTTCGATTATGCCTTGAATTTCTACTTTTTCATCAACATACACAAGTGTATCGCGCTCTAATGCGTTAGCTTTAATGATGTTAATATCAGCGCCTGTATCTAACAAGAATCTGTCTCCTGAATTTCTAAGTTCTTCGAATGGGATTGATATAAGATTCCTTGAGATTGTTCTGATTGTATATGTTCTTGCTCTTGTTCTAGTGATTGAATCGGATGTGCGCGACTTGATATTTGGCCTTGACGTTGCGCGCTTTTCGCTTGGCCATGGTAGTTTAAATGTGAATTATTAGTTGAATTATTAGGTAGGTTGTTAGATAAATTATTATTACGTTGATAATTCGCTTGATTATATTGATTGGGTTGGTTAAACCGGTTGGATTGATAGTTAGTGTTAGAAAAATTTTGGTTACTGTTAAATCTGCTTCCGTTCGGGTTATTATTCCGCGAAAAATTTTGCTCGCGTCTGACGTTATTATATTGGTTATTTTGCCAAGAATTTTGATTTTCACGAGAGGCATTTTGTGAATCGTAACGTTTTTTCCTACATTCGTTTTCTGTGTGTCCTATTTTCCTGCAGTAATTACAAGTTATTCCGATGTATCGTTGAATCTATTTTGTCTAAATCTTTCTGAATGATAATTAGATGTTGTAATGTACCTAGTTGCACTTTCTATTGCGTCTTCTAACGTGTTAAATTTTTGTGATAAAAGAAGTTGTGCCGTTTGATTGTGTAATCGCCTAAGAAATGAGTAATTAATTTATTCATTGCAAAGATTCTTAGTCCTGCTCTTGCTGTTGGATCAGGGTAATTAGAAATTGCAAGGATCATTTCAGAGTTTAATTTTCTGGTTCTAGTAGCATAATCTTCAATGGATTCATTTCTTTTTTGCTGAAGTTTATTAATTTCCACTTCCCAATGGTCAAAACTTTTGGAATTTCCGAATTCCTTTTTTCTAATGCTTTGCATAAATCATCAAGATTATTTATTGTTGCGACGTGAACTAGCCTCGGAATCACGCCAGATCCGAGGGAGCACGCCCAATGGAAATCGGTAACTCGCGGGATCGGCAATAAATGCTCGATTCGGTAACTTACGGTATCGGAAACAGATGCTTGATTCGGTAACTCGCGGTACTCCACGCTCGTCGGGAGCAAGGTAACTCGCGAAATCGGCAATAACTGCACGATTCGGTAACTCGCGGTACTCCACAAAATTCGGGAGCAAGGTAACTCACGTGATATCGGTAACCGGAAATGGGCGCCAGGTGCGAGTAATCGCACCGCGGTATCGGTAACTTTAACAGTTCTCAAAATTGCTCGGCCGCTCCCCGCTCAGTATATGGCAGAGGGGCGCAGTTCTTTTACTCAACGTTAGATATCTGGAGTGAGAGGCGAACACAAGAACAACCTAATAATTAATATTTAACAATAATGTATTTCCATGGTTCGGTTACAAGGGTAAAGATGTGTAGATCGTTCGGCCGGAGCCGATACGGCGGAAACAGTTCAATGCGGTCGTAAGGCCATTCGCCCAATCAATCGGTAACCAGAATAAAGTTAGACAATTACACGAACTCACGGAAACGCGATCAAAATAATTCGCCGCTGATCCGACTATATACGGCAAACAAAGGACTTATATTTTGATCATCCGATACGGCCGGTGAAGGCCAAATAAACAGACTTTAAACGACGGTAGCCTAACGGCCAGAAATGAGATGTCGCGGAACGGCTATTTTTCGCGGGCTTTCCCGTTTCTCGCCGAGACGCTAACTTTACGGTAACCGCAATCTCGCGGAGAACGTTCCCGGATCAAAATCCGCCCGCGGACATTCACCCACGGTACTTCTGGTACGGCGATAACGCGACAAAACGGTAACGGAGCGGTATCGCAAGAAAGACGGTAGCAATCGGTATCTTCCAAAGAAACGGTAACGGTAGGACGGTACGGTAACAAAACGAACGGTAAACGAAACGGCAACGAGAAGAGACTGTCGGTGCTTAATTCTCGCAAGACGGAGAGACTGTTACGCGATATCCGGAGCCGGCTGGACATGGGGTAATTGAGCGTAATTGAGCGCTCACGGTATCGAAAACTACGGTTAATGGTGTGAGAGACACTACATATAAAACAAACTCACGCTACCAGCCATCACCGGACGGAACTCTACGGTTACCCGAGAGGCGGCTTACAATGAGTGGACGTCTTCGGCGTCTTCGGCGTCGTCGGGCTGAGTCCTCGATGTCGTCTTCGCGCACTTGCGGCACACCGAACAGTGGCTCTTCTCAGCTCTGCACGTAGGTCCTCTCCAAGTCCGCGTCGCCTTCCTGCGCATCCTGCCGATTTTCCGAAAAGGGGGGCCCCTGAGAACCGCCCACAGTTCATCCAGGGCGCCCCCCTCCGCTCTCTGTGGTTTCCTTCCAAATACTTTCGGTCCGGTTAATTCGTGTCGATGAGTCGATGTTCCCGGAACGAGACTGGTTAGGGCTGGCCGGGGCCCATACTCCGGTCCTTCCGGGTGGCAGCATCTTCGGGGTCCCCGGGAGCGTCTGCAGCCGGGCGAGGTCCGCTGCTGCGTGTTTCTGCGTTTCTTAGACTCTGTGGCTGAAACCAAAG